ATAGGTCCAACAAGCTACAGTTTCGCACTCATATTGTATCTATAAGTGTACATGTTGTGTATATATGTGTGTGTTGAACTTTTTTTAGACGTGATTTACATATAAAATAATTTAGAAAAATTTAGGTGACCTCACCTTTTTTTAAGAATAATATAGAACATTTTAGATAATCTTACATATGTTATATAACAATTTGTGTTTTAAATATTTTAAACATACATATTTAATGTTCTTTTAATAAAGATAAAAAATTTATATAATATTAGGGAATATTATTTAGCTAATCAAAAATTTATAATCAATTATTCAGCTTTTTCCTACATTAAGAAATTTCAAACTATGATTTATTTTTCCGTTTAGTTTTCATATCGTTGTATGTTTTTTTTTATTTCCATCTTTTTGTAAAAACTTCGAAACATTTTTGTATATTATTCAGGTTGTATATATAATATTAAATCAAACTTTGTTTTACAAGCTTCAACTTCGCACTCATATTATATATATATAAGTTAAACATATTGGGTATATATATGTGTGTGTTGAACTTTTTTAGACATTTTGTATATATAAAATAATTTAAAAAAATTTAGGTGAGCTCACATTTTTCAAGAAAAATATAAAATATTTTAGATAATATGACATATGTTATATAACAATTTAGGTGTTTTAATATTTTAAACATACATATTTAATGTTCTTTTAAACAAGATAAAAAAACTATCAAAATATTAGTGAATATTATTTAGATAATCAAGTATAATCGATATAAAATGATAAACTAACAACTCAGCACTAGTTCCTTCTGATTTTTAGGGTTCCATTTAACAGTCAAGGTCAAAATTTTTGTATAAAAAAGTATACAAACATGAGTTAATTTTATTTAGCTAATGAAGTATAATGATATTAAAATATTTAACTAACAGTTAATTTGTCTGGCTACCTAAATAAATTATCATATTATAAATAGATCCATCTAAGGATTCCATTTAAACTCCATCAGCACCAATTCCTTCTAATGTTAGTGTTCCATTTAAGAGTCAAGGTCATTCTTTATGTGTGTTGGCATGTTTTTCTTAAAGAAATCGGTTCTTAGTCACTACCAATGATATGTTGTTGTTTCACATGTACGTAATAGATAAAAGTCGTGTATTGGCATGTTCTTAAAAAAATGAGTTTTTGGTCACAACGAATTATCTGTTATTGTTAGGCGTGTAAGTAATAGATAAAGAAGAGTCAAGGTCAACCTTTATTTTACGTTGGCATGTTCTTAAACAAATCGATTTTTAGTCACATACAATGATGTTGTTTGTTTTGCGTGTAAGTAATAGAATATGGTTGAAAGTATTAGTTTGTGGGTACGACAAGTTGCTTAGTTATCAAACAAATATTGTTGTGTATAATGAAGTTTTAATAATATATTTTTTTTCATGAGGAACATTTTATTATTTGACAATTTCCCTATGAATTATCACTCTTTTAATTATTAATGCATTTTAAATTTAATATTTCCCAAAAAATTAATACAGCTCGTGCATCGCACGGGTTACATACTAGTCTTTTAAGAAATAAGTCAACTGTATTTAATGTTAATAAAATGTTATATATTTTAAAATATCAATAAATTAAAAACTTAAAAATAAATTAACTATATTTATGAATTATTATAAATATTTAAAAATATCAATAAATTAAATAACGGTCCAACCAGTTCAACCACTAGTCAGACCAGTGAATCATTGAACCAGTAACTTGACCGGTTCGATGGCCGGTCCGGTTTCGAGAACATTGGTTAGGAAAATTATGAGAGCATCTACAGAAAGGCTCCCGGAAATCTAAAGTTGGCAACTTTGGAATAAAAGGAATAAGAAAAAGGAACTAAAGCAGTATGCATTATAGAATAATGGATGATGATTCTGATGAGAAGCTGGATTTCATATCTATTAAGTAAAAAATCAAAAGACTGAGGTTCATCAAAACTTGAAATTTGGCTCCATTGAAAATGAGGGATTTGAATTTGCAAGAGACACTTGGATTCGTCACAGGCAGACGACATCCATCACGATGGCAGGTGAGGTCAGGGTACGAGCGCAAGGAGTGCAGAGCTCGGTCGGATATTGATCTTAAGATACAGCTAAGCATTCGGGACTTGAACGCGCATTTCTTCAAACTAATGATAGCATATAATTATGTATTTGTTTCTAATCACTATGATGAATCGGTCTGCCTAACGATTCGACCAATTCATTCAAGAACTTATATCAAAACTTGTGTTTAGAAATATTGAGGGGAAGGATTAAAATTTTGAATGCTCATACTAATAAAGTTTCCTAAGTTCCATCACGAATAAACGTACCACACCACAACACCGAAAATTGTACCGAATGAATTTACTAAAACCTCTGCAATATATGGCATCGCTCTATTATACACTTGCAAAATTAAAAACTAAAACGCGGGCAAGAACACTCCAAATGAGCTAGCTAGCATACAAAATGACCCATGAACTGGTAAATTTTCAATTCCTCCAAGAGCATTGACCCCGCTTTAACAGAGACACATAAAGCAAGTCGTTCCAAGTATCGGGCACGCCCGGCAGGCACCAATGGCTGCAGTCTTGTGCATGTATTTCTTGCTGAGCTGCTTGGTAGTCCGGCCTGTAAATCGAGGGGTGCCCGTCTTTCCTGTAGTCTGTGAGACGGCTTATGTTGAGATACGTGACTGGAGTTTTCATACCCTTTAGCACGTACTCCAATATCTTCATTTTCGAGGGGTAGTTTACCAAGTGAGTCTCGTTGAATATCGGCTCCGTTTCCTTGTGGCATTGGCCTCCCGAGTTCCAAGGTCCGCCCCTGCACAATAAACACACCATTCTATCTAATTCGCTCATATAATTATAGCTTTAGTTACCAAAAGCACCCTCGACGTTTAGTCTAATTAGCTTCCGAAAATTACAAAGAACCGGTTACATTGATACAAAGTTTTATAAAGTTCTGAAAATATAATCTGATAAAATGTGAGAAGTTCAAAATTATTTTAGTTCGATGACCCAAGTATGTACACTTCAAAGTTTAATAATCACAACATTCAAACTTTAATTGAATGAAAAACTATATCAAATAAATGTGATTGAACTTTTTGTGAAAATCCCATATGCTTTTAATGAAACTGCACTATATAAGTATATCACATCAATTATGAAACTACTACACTTTGCAAGATAGGGGATGAAAGTTTGCTGAGATTTACCTAAAATGCGTGACCGAATATCCTCTGAAAATAACTTCAGTTTTGTTAACGTCGATATTTTTATCGACCCAACGAGCCCAAGTGGCAAGTGCTCGCTTGAATGCTTCCAAAACTTTAAGTCTTGGGTGAACATAGTTACCTTCTTGGTAATAGTCTTCACTGCAAAATAAACAACATGGCTCAAATAAATACAAAAAAATTTAAAAGGAGATGATAAAATCTATAACTGATAGTGCTGTTGCATTATGTTGAACAATATTGTATTTTGGTATCTGTTGTTAAACGACGCGAGCCTGAGTTAGGAACCAATATCAAAACCCCCGTTTCGAGTGTATTTTGGCTGGTTAGACTTATCAGCTACAATGCCTGAATTTAGCAAAATTATCCATCGAAAGACTTTATACGCTTTTAAAATAACATGTCTAGTGCATATAAATTATTAGGTGATAAAAAAAAAAACGGAACCTTATTTTAACAAACACTTTTGGCTCTGCCTATCTTAATAAAAAAGATGTTGCAACCTCACAAATGAGCTCCACTATTTAAATTATCCAAACATATTTCCAAAATAAAAATCCAACAACATATTAGAAGCTCCCACAATAACCTTAAAAGATTTTTAAATGAGCTCAGCAACTAAAACTTAGTTAAAAGAAACTCAGACAGAGAGAGAGCTTTTACCCGCGTGAGGTTTTTTCATGAGTCCACCAATGCCCGGTATTGAAAATTATAACATCTGCATCGTGGTACATGGAAGTGGTATTATCCATCAAATCCAATCTGAGGGTATCAAACGAGCCATTTTTCCCACTGTAAGTTGATTCCTTTACAAGAAAAGGAGAACTAACAAAGTCCACCGAGCAGTCATAATCCTGAGAATGCAGCCGAGGAAGAGGCAACAATGTTTTCTTTATTTCTAGCATATTGTTTAGTTTCTTAATCATTTAAAAACTTGTGGTGAGCATACCTCGAACCTGAAGGCATAAAATCCTTTCTTCTTGAATTCATGTCTTCCTGAAATCTCATAAACTCGGGTTTTGTCCTCAACGCCATGGCGGAGGGCACAAACGAGTGACTCCCACATGTTCCTATTTAGAGAGTCCCCAACAAACACCAACTTTTTTCCTCTCAGCCTCTCAAGAAAATCAGTTGCATTGAACCTGGGTAAGCAAGTATTCCGGTAAATTTAAATGCACTCACCAATTGGTTCGAAAACAAGATTCATAATAAGTGAATCAATCTGTACACAATTTAATAATGAATTACAATAACTGGAGTTCATTAGGTTCTGGACATCACAAAAGTAAGAAATGAGAATAGTTTTATGCGAAAAATGAAACAAATACAGCGAACAATGAATAAGCCACTAAGCATAAGCTAGTAATATACAACCGGTCGAGGCACTGGGAGGTGTCCAAAGTAGCATCAATACATTCAAATTTCAAATTTATTCGACATACTAACAGCGAACACATAAATATCACAATTATGCTTTCTTATCGACTGAATTACTACAACTACAAACAGAACAGGAGATGGATGTAACTAAACATCTAAATACAATACATGAGTGCACATCATACCACCAATAAACCATTAATTGATGCATTTTATTATCTTCATAACGGGTGAGCATAAATACAAACTAAAAAATCTCACCTCGGGATTTCACAATCATACGGCTGCCATCTCCATCTTACATACTCATCATCTGGCCTCCCATTTGCATGGCAATCAAAATCCCTGTCGATATACGGACATGAACCCGGTGGGTAATACGGCATTGTATCATCTCTCACCCATCTTCCATCGAAAACATCACAGTTCTTGAAAGATCTACTACTTGCAGAAAAACCCTTTGTCCCATTACTCCTCAAATCACCATTAGTATCTGCAAGTTCAGCAACTTCGGCTCCACACGATCGATTACCGTGCCCAACACCCCCAACACAATCCTCTCGACCATGTTCACTTTTGCCACTAACACTTTCATTTTTCACATCACTACGAAAACCACTCACATCTTCACCCCTTTTCACCACTTTCCCTCCATCTTCAACAACAACAAAGCTTCCATTTTTATTATATTCAGTCTCATTTCCCAAGTGGGCACCCTCAAGATCCTCGTTTTCATCAACTGAATCTACAATTCTATCACTTCCTTTAGCATTTGCCTCAAGGGAAGCGTTCACAGGGCTCTGTGGAGACCCAAAGGGTGAAGAAAGAGAAGAACTATTGTTATTTTGTGAAGCAAAACTGTAGAGCCCTTGAAACAGAGGGCTAAAATCTGGACCTTTGGATGAGAAACTGAACAAAATTACGGTGAGGAAAATGAAAGAGAACACAACGCCTAAACCGAATGGGGACGCAATCTTTGTCCGGGCAGAGGATATGAACTGATCTGAGAAGGTGAGCTTCTTCAAGCCCGTGACTGAAAATGTTGAAGAAAAAGAAGTCGCCATTTTCTGAAGAAAATATGATACTATTACATTACATGACCCAAAAAAAACAGAAAAATGCAATGAAAATGTTCTTTTCCAATAATAATTTGTGGGAGTGTTCAGAGATGGAAAAAAATGAAGAAAGATAGATTGATTCAGTTTTGTGGTGTGATACTGTGATTTTAGAAAAAGGTGAAAAAAAAAAAAGGAAAAAAAAAAAGAAGAAAGAAACAAGTGAGTGAAATTTTTTCAGTGTGTGTACTGTGTGTGGGGAGTTGGGTAGATTTTTTTATGGTGCCAGGAGAGAGAGAGAGAGAGAGAGAGAGAGAGAGAATATAGTCAGTCGTTTAAATGATGAATTTGCCCTTTGCCCAGAAAGGAAGTGACAACGTCAACAAAAATTCAAATGGGGAAAAGGACCTTTAATCACGCAGCGATATTATCATCCAATTGAAACTGAATTTGTGATTGATTGTGGTAAAAATATACTTCAATTTGATTTTTTGAAAATCAGTTCACATCTATTATTATCTATTATATTACTATGTAATAAAGAGAAGAAAAAATACAAAAAATAGTATATTTAAGTTTTCACTCATTTTTTCGCTTTTTATCAATAGATTTTTTTTTAAAAAAAAAAAGATTTGGGAGAATATCGCCCATGATTTTTACTCAAATTGTTGTGGAAAACATTACTTGCAAGCATTTAAAGGAAATATTACAAGCAGATTTTTTTGGTACATTTTATTTTATATTAACTTCTATATGGCTAACAACTAATTAATATAATATTTTTTTATCCAATTTATTCTAAATAAAATTAATATAATATTTATTTAATTAATTATAATATTTTTTCATATATAATTACTAAAATATTAATTATTATAGAAAAATTAAAAAAAAAAAAATTATCATACCTTTTACTTTATATAAAATTTAAAATTACATATTTTAACATACTAGTACGTACCCCGTGCGATGCACAGGATAAACATATTAAATAAGTTATTTTCATAGCTTTGTCCGTTTAAGTCAAAAAAAGTAATAATGTTATTATCCATTTTCTGCCACTTTTCATCAACGTTAAGTCTAAAATATTATTAAGCTGCCCTCTGGCAAATATGTATGGAGTTATATGTCCGTGTCTCATAAGTCACAAACATGATGAATAACATTACAGATTATTCATTCAAACTTTTATTCATTACAAATATATTAAAATAGTTTATATAAAAACCATTAAATACCACTTTCAATATATTTATAAATAAAAGGTACATAAAATTTCTGGTGTGTTCAAATTTAAATATTTTTTTATGGACTCAATTTTAAATCATCCAGACATTTGGTCAAACACATAGGTGTGTTCAAATTTAAATCATTGGCATTTTGGTCGGTTGAAATTTAAATCATTCACCATAGTACTGTGATGTGTATTATATGTATATATATACAATTTTTTAACAAATGATATGTGTTTTATAAAAACAATAATATTTCACAAGATTTTAAACGTAAAATTTGGTTTTTAATCACAATAGAAAAATCATGGTAAGTTGTATTGAAAATGTGTAATGAGATAAAACAATTAACTAAAATAATTAAATAAAATACTTGATGGAAATGGAATGCATTAATTACCTTTGACTTTTCTTGCTACAAATTCTACAAAATAGAATGCTTTTTTATATAAGTATAGATTAATAAACATTTATTATTTATTTATTTTTTCTTATGAAATATAATCTAAATTCGGTATTAAATTTTCAAATTCAAACATTTAAAGAAAAAGATACTAAAACATATTTTTTTAGCTAAATTTTATTTTATCTTAATTTTCATATAATCACATTCTTAACAAATAAATTAATATTATATTTTTTATCTACATTATCTAACGAATTTTTTTATGATATAATTAATATAATATCTTAACTAATTAATAATTTATCTAACCGAATTTATCTCTCTAACAAACTTGCCAAATTTTTTTAAAATTAAAATGGTATGATTTTTCTTACAGGGATACTTATCAATATATTAAACATTTAAAATCTTTTTTTAAAAAAAAAATAAAAAATTAGTTATCCCTCCTTTTACTTTATTTGAAATTCTAAGTTATATTTTTTAATATATATTATTATTTATTTTTTTACGTGTATATATTTATTATTTAATATCTAAGTGATAAATATTATTGATTTATCTTTTTAATAAATATTTATTTTTTTCCTTACCTGATATAATTTAAATTTAGTTATTAGATTTTTAAATTCAAACATTTAAAAGAAAAGATCTTAAGCAGATTTTTTGGGTAAATTTTATTTTATCTTGATTTTCATATAATATCATCCCTAACAAACTAATTAATATTATATTTTTATCTACATTATCTAACTGACTTTTTTTATATAATTAGCATAATATCTTAACGAATTAATCATTTATCTAACCGGAATTATCTCTCTAACAAAGTTGCCAAATTTTTTGAAATTAAAGTGGTATGATTATTCTTACGGAGATACTTGTTTGTCCCATTTTTGTTGCATTTTTTGTTATTGTATTATCTTTCTTTTTCCCCCGTTATAGGTCTTCTCATTGGTTTTTATTTGTTTTTGTAGTTTATTGTGTGTTTTCCTCTGTTTCGGTTTTCTATGTGTTTTCGTGTGTTTTTTTGGTTTTTCTTTATTTATGGTGTGTAGGTCAGAAGTTTCAGGAGGACAGGATTTTGGGAAAAAATTGGTCTTGCAAGGATAATAAAGTAGAAGGGTTCGTCAGCGACAAGCAGTAAAAATAGAACTCAATTCCGAGTTCGGACGAGTCCAAACGAGCCCGAGACGCGAAGTCGTGCACGGAAGCCAACAGCTCCAGGCCCTGCGCCGCGGAGACCCTTGCGTCGCGGCACTACCCAGCCTCACGCGCACGACACGTCGCGCACCTGCTACGACCCGACCAGAGACTAATGCACCTGCCCTGCTCCACGCCACATCAGCGCCTCGCGCCGCGGCGTCCCCCAACTCCACCCATCTCCTCCTTTATTTTTTTTTTTCTTTTTCTTATTTTTCTTCTTCTTCTTTTCCTCTCAACTCCATCTTTCCCTTCCATTTTTCTTTTTCTTCTTCTTAGCATTTAGGGATTAAGATTGTAATTTGGATTCAACATTGGATTAAGATTACTTGTAAGCTTTTCTCTCTTGTTTAATTCATGAACTTGGTTGATTTGGGAGAAATCTTTGGTTGTGTTGAATTTGATCTGCTTAGCTAATTTCCAATTGCTAGGGAATAGGGGATGATTATTCATGTTTAATACATATATGTTGGGCTTTAATTTATTCGTTCTTGTGCGAGTTGTTTTAATTAGGATTGATGATTCTTGCTTGATAGTTAGATATAATCGAAGGGTGACACTTAGATCTTGCAATTGGAAACAATTGGGTATTGATTTGTCGAGTTAGGGTTTTGTTGATTTTAAATAATTAGTTGATTAAACTCCTTCTAATTTAATTGGCGACTCTTATAACCAAAAGGGGAGGAGTCGTAGAACTAGGCTCGCACAAGATAGACGATTTCGTAATTAAATAGTGTATAGGTTTCGAATTGAACTATGTGTTTGTCGATGTCCCTTCCCTTGTTACGAAAAGTTATTGGGATTGGATCATTGGCTGGTGTTGTATGCTCGGACTTGCTCGTCTATGTTCAATCACTGTTATGAAGAGTTATTGGGAGCGAACCGCTGGACGTTTAGGCGAGAGCGTCAATCCTGGACCGAACGACTAATGGACTGATTTACGATTAGAACTCGAATTAATTATCCCCGACCCCCTAGCTTCTTTACCATTGTTTCATTTCTATTTTAGGTAGATTTATGTTTTATGCATTTCTTAGTCGATAAAACAATCCACCTTGATTAGTATATTTAGGATTTATTTTGCTTTTGTGTGCTATCAACACTGAATCTAAATTCCAAACTGCCTTCCTCGAGAGATCGACCCGGGGAACGAATCTTTCGATTTGGTACTCAGTAAAATAATTTGCTACAACAAATTTGGCGCCGTTGCCGGGGAAGGCAAGTAGGATATTTAGTTTTGGTGTTAATATTATTTTATGTGTTTCTCTTTATTTTGTTATTCCTTTGTGTTTGTGTAATTTGTTTGCTTCATTTGTTTTTCTTCCTGCCTTTTTGTTTGTGTTTTGTTTTTTCGTGGCTCCGTCTGGTTTTTTTTTTCTTGTGTACACGGATTTTGAACAGAAGTATCAACCGAGCAACGTGTTTCCCTCCTTGAAAACCCTTTACTGAAATAATGGACCGAGCTACGGTTCCTGGGAGTATGGCCAGGCATGTGCCTTCCTTTACGAGCAACTGTGGAATCTGTTGTCGTTCGAGCAATCATTTGAGTCCCCCGTAGACTTCTCAGATTACGATGCTAAGCTTGATCAGATTCTAGATATTCTGACCTCCCAAGCAGCCCGAAGGAAAAATCTTGAGGCTGGAATCGAGAACCTAGCAGAACATATTCGAGTTATGGAAGACTGATTTTATAATTCTTCCCCCGATTCCCTCGTGGATAATGAACATCGGGGGAACATATTGACGATTGATGAAAAACTCGATCTCATTCTTGCTCGTGTGTAGTCCCAAACAACTCAACTGGAGGAGATTGAGGGTGGATGCACTCGGTTGGTGGTGCAGCTTGACGGTATAATGGAGAACATTCAATTCGTCGAGCCATAAGTCGATGAGCCCATTAGCAATGACTATCAGATTCACGAGGGCAAGATTGAAGAAGAAGAAGATGCGCTCCCTGAGAATGAGGGTGATATTCTGATAGAGGAAATCTCTGGGCCCAAATTCGAGAGTACATCACTTGAGTCATCCTTCTGCACCGTCGAGAAGGCTACATTTAGTTTGATATGCTCCACAGACACACTCGTATTCCGAGAGGTTGACTGCGGAGCTTCGATGAGAAGAGCTCTAGGTCATTTCGTTACCATCCTTGGTGCTCATACTCGGTTCTACAA